AACGCGATCTGTACTTAGTTCATCTTTAGTTCTGATGAACTAAGTTCTCATGAACCTTTGTGGGAAAAGTACTGCGGTGTGAAAGTGCCTAATATAGAATAGTGCTCTGTTTTAATGATTTCTTCTTATTCTTAGTATTTATCTAATTCTTCGCAATTTTTCTGCTTTCATACTTTTTCGGCCACATTGTTGTGTTTGTCTGATTTATATATACACAGTCTGTTCTGAATATGTTGTGGCGTTTACCCTAAGAGGGTGCATGTTTCTCCTGCATGATGATTTGCTTCTTCTCTTTGGAGATTGTGGATGAGTACAAAAAGAGAGAGCAGGAGAACAAAGATCTGGAGAAAGAGCTGGAAGATAAGAGCGATGCCCTGACCTCATACCGACAGAACATATCAGAGGTACGTGACATGTCAATGCAATGTCTTCTCTCGAATGATTTGTTAAAGAAATATAGTTCAGCATCTGATTTGTTGCAGGACAGAATGACCATCCTGTGAATAAATGTGTGTGTGTGTAAGGATTTCTGCTGGTGTCTCACAGGCTAAGGAGCGCTGGCTGAACCCTCTGAAGCAGCTGGTGGAGCAGATTAATGTGAAGTTTAGTGATTTCTTCCGCTCCATGCAATGTGCAGGAGAGGTTGATCTGCACTCAGAGAACGAGGTACATGATGACACAAAAGGAACAACACACACTGATATTAAGGGTTGAAAAACAATTTAAGTGACTGTTTCCATTCATTCAAGGAGGCTTATATAGATTGCTCAATTTGTTAATTTACACAAGATGGTGTCAGGGTTCTTACGGTCATTAAAAACCTGGAAAAGTCATGGAAATTCAGAATGCTAATTCCAGGCCCTGGAAAAGTTATGGAAAACAATATTTTTCCCAAAGTTTTGGAAAAGTCATGGAAATGTGAAGTTGCATCAAATATAATTTATATTTTATCTAATCGCCGAAATAGCAATACTATAATGATACTAAATACTGTATCGTATAGTAATGAAACGTAAAATTGCATTTAACTGACGAGGTGTTTTGCTGGTGAGAGATTTTAGTTGCTTTAGCCAGAAGCTAGTAAGCCTTGATTTGATTTGTTTTAGATAGGACCAACATGTTTCAGACCTTATTTTCCTGCTCCATGTTAAAATAAACCATTTTCAGTGGTACCGCTGAGAAAGAGTAATTTATTTGGTCATGGAAAATTAGGTGAAGGTCCTGGAAACGTCATTGAAGGTCATTGGTGAAAAAGTGTATGAACCCTGACTATAATCCTTTTATATATTTATTAATGATATATCCTTTATTTAATCAGGTAAAAGTCTCATTGAGATTAAAATCTCTTTTTCAAGAGCGACCTGGCCAAGAGGGCAGCATGAACAAAGTTACAACAAATGAACACAAAACAATACAGACAGACGAATACAGCGGTCGTAAAACACCTCAATGATAATGAGAAATATGATAAAATCGGTCGCATTTTGTGAAATTAGTCATTTCTCAATTTCGTGCAGGCCTAGTTAGAAGATGTGCAAAGGACAAAATAATCGAAAACATGTGGGACCACCTGCCCCTACATAATGCACCAATACAACTTTAACTTAAAGTAAAAAGATCCCCCTAAAAAAGTAGGGTGATTTGACGTGAATTTGGGAACACAGCATGACAAGAGTAAGACAGAGATGGAGAGTTGGAAGCAGCTGCCTACTGGAGACACTCCTAACTTTAACTCCGGAGCCCACTGTGCTGCTGCTGCCAGCTCCTGTCAGTCATCCTGGCATGCTCATTCCCTGCTCTCTGCCACTCCTGATACAATTAGTAACACAGCTGGAGTCCAGGCCGAGGCTCCAAGCACCGGCAAAGAAGAAGTTATTAAATAATGCACGGCTAGAAACAAAGGTTTTTTAACCGATTCGTTACACTGAAGAGAGAATCAGGGAAGCACTTTCTTTGTCTACCATGTCTAAAATGCATTGTAAATATATTGCACAGCATCACTGATTTGTTTACTGTCATATTTACTCCATTTAGTCTTTTGTATATTTATAGTAAAATATTTTTATATTTTGAAAGTTATAATAGTTTTTATAATAGTTCAATTTGGTCCAATGTATTCACTTACTGTGTTTGTGTATGGTAAAGCAAAATCCTTGTGCGTGTAAACCTACTAGGCAATATTTTTATTTTCATCGTCATTATGTCCTCATCGATTTATCAGTGTGTGTTCACCTTGTTTTGCCGAGAGGACTCCAGTTAGCGGACTGCTGCTGTTTGATTTTCCGTACGTGCTGGAGTTCTTCCTCCTCTCAAGAGCTGTCTGTTGGAGGGTGGGAAAGTTAAGATAAGATACGAAATACTTTATTGATCCCAATTTGGGAAATGTTTGAAAGAAAAAGAGAACGAATGAAGGAGGAATAAAGCTTGCAGTGTCACCGTTTAAGAATACACATTCTCGTGAAGTCAAATGAATCGTCAGAGTCAGAGGCCCTCCATCTGTACCTTGTATTTCATGCTGTTGGATTTCAGCAGGTTCACCTCCTCTTGCAGTTGGCTCAACCGCTCCTGCAAATACCTGCATGAGCAACGAGAATCACGCTAAAAATCTGTTCGGCTGCCGCTATCATTTTCATGATCTTATGAATGTATGGTGAAAATGTGGCTAAAAACTGGATAAAAAGTAAATATATGACAATTCTCTCACAGTAGACCAGAGGAAACGCACGTTAGCTTAATTAAAATTACAAATTTCTCTGAAACATTTGAAATAAGAAAAAAAATAAACTTGTCGTTCTTACACGTTTAAATATGTGGTTATATCTTTAACTTCACTTTTCAGCTTTTACAATATATTTTATTTTCTTTATAAAGAGATATTCTTCTCTTTATTTCCAAAACAGAATAATTCTGATGTGTTTACACCCAGTAAAGCAAACGAAAGAGGGTAAATATGGAGACATGTCTACACAGGAAGCAGTTACTTGGAGTGAAAGCAAGTGTCTGAGAATCTGCAGCTTGTAGAAAACACATGGCCTCTCTAGAACTGGAGATATGGGAAAGTAGTTCCCAAAGATCTTTTGTCCCACTCACCTGTTCTCCATGCAGAGGGCATCCACATCAATGATGCGTGCCTCACGGTTGCCCAGAACGTGGTTG